ACGCTAAAAGTTTCCAGAGATCTGAAATTAGTCCTTCTAATCGCAACACGCAGAGCTAAAAATGGCGATGAAACTTATCTCGCTTTCATCGCCTTTTCTCGCATCTTCCAATTCCTCTTGTCTCGCAAGAGATTCAACTTTCTAATCTCGCTCGCAATTCATGACCACACGCGCTCTGCTCATACACAACACAAATGTTATATCAATGCTTCAGCCCATCAAAGGCAGAAAAGTTCATCAGTACGTGCACATGTGCCGGGACGAACAACACGTGCTTTGGGGCTTTCTATTTTCGCGTCATATAACTGTATAACGTTTTTTATACACAGTGGCACGACGTAGCTTTTTCCGCTTTTGCGCTTTCTTCCGTGCTCGTTAGTTTGAAAATAAGTTTTAGACGCCTCGAGCAGAATCGAAACTTTTTTTATACGCTAAAAGTTTCCAGAGATCTGGAATTAGTCCTTCTAATCGCAACACGCAGAGCTAAAAATGGCGATGAAACTTATCTCGCTTTCATCGCCTTTTCTCGCATCTTCCAATTCCTCTTGTCTCGCAAGAGATTCAACTTTCTGATCTCGCTCGCAATTCATGACCACACGCGCTCTGCTCATACACAACACAAATGTTATATCAATGCCTCAGCCCATCAAAGGCAGAAAACTTCATCAGTACGTGCACATGTGCCGGGACGAACAACACGTGCTTTGGGGCTTTCTATTTTCGCGTCATATAACTGTATAACGTTTTTTATACACAGTGGCAAGACGTAGCTTTTTCCGCTTTTCATTTTCTTCCGGGCTACATGTGCCGGGACGATCAACACGTGCTTTGGGGCTTTCTATTTTCGCGTCATATAACTGTATAACGTTTTTTATACTCAGTGGCACGACGTAGCTTTTTCCGCTTTTGCGCTTTCTTCCGTGCTCGTTAGTTTGAAAATAAGTTTTAGACGCCTCGAGCAGAATCGAAACTTTTTTTATACGCTAAAAGTTTCCAGAGATCTGGAATTAGTCCTTCTAATCGCAACACGCAGAGCTAAAAATGGCGATGAAACTTATCTCGCTTTCATCGCCTTTTCTCGCATCTTCCAATTCCTCTTGTCTCGCAAGAGATTCAACTTTCTGATCTCGCTCGCAATTCATGACCACACGCGCTCTGCTTATACACAACACAAATGGTATATCACTGCCTCAGCCCATCAAAGGGTGTACTTATTACTGCGCGGGCATGTGTCTATAACTGCGCACTGAATTTTCCGTGATTACTAAGTATTTACTAAGTAATAATCATTTTCACACTTTGAAAACTAGCATATTAATAGGAAATTTCTTCAGCTATCGATTGCGACTATTTAAAAAAATCTTAAAAATAGGATTTTTAAGATGTTTGCATTTTAAACTTTATGTCAATTTTTCTCGGTGAAAATGGGAAATTTCGGAAAATCGGCTCACACCGTCGAAAAGCTGAGGTAATTTTCCATCGAAATGATGGATTCCCTTTTTCTTCTAGGTGCATTTCGATACTTTTTACGTGAGTTAGAAACTGAGTGATTTCGTTTAATTGGGCCGCGCAGACACTTGTAATGAAATGCCTTATATACATATGCGCAGTAATAGGTACATACAGTGCGCAGTAATTGATACATCGGTTCAAAATACATAACTAATTATATTTTTCAAATTTATTGTAGAAACATATAACTAATCAAACTAATATGGACGTATTAATTAAATAGATATACTAAGTAAGTAAAAATGATATTTGCAAACCAAATTGTCACATACATAAAAAGTTACAAGTACTTTTCTATGGGTGTTATCGGCAATTTCTTTTGTAAATTATCTACTCTCTGTCAAAGTTTTCTGGTCATATCAATCAATTTTATTTCTCATTTTTTCTATTATTTAGCATCGTGAAGATAAAATTACGGGAAATCATCCCATTTCGTGGGTTACAACTCTATTTTATCATTATTTGTGCATAGCGAACATACACATAAGAGATATAGACTGCGGGTTAGCCGTAGCGGCGTGGGTCTCGGTGAGAAAGAGACAGATGCTGTAACGGGACTCTCTGTCTCTTTCTACGAACGCCGAGCATGCGCACTAACCTCATCACCGAACAGCTTTGCAAACCAAAGCCCTCGGGCACAGCAAATGAATCACTCCTAAACATGAGCTTGCAAATGCATGCGTGGCCGAGCGGCTACAGCTTCTTACTTTTGCGCTCGAATTCATGAGTTCAAAACTCGACGATTGTCAACGAAGCTATTATCCGTGTACTTTTTTTTTAACAATTTTTTCAGCTCATCTCCGCCCCAGCAAGCTATTCATATTTAATTATATTGAAATTATTTCAAGATTACCCATTAAATTAATGTACTCGACAATGCAGCTCTTTTCATGACATCGTTTTATCACCACTTTGAGAGTAATACATCGAATGAAAATGATTCGTTTTTAAAAAAGCAATAAAGAAAGAATTTGTAGTTGAATAAAATAAAACATGTTTGGTAACATTCAGGTAAGTCATGAAAATATTGTACATACTATAGCATAAAAATAAAATTATGATACACAAACGAAAAGTATTTTTTCATTATTTATTATTCAAACTGAGCCGTAATGGGTAAGGAGTGTTGTTTTCAAATGTTTTTGCACTCTCATTTGTTTTTCTTCGCCCCCTTGCGGGCTTGCGAATCTAGCCAACACCTTCGCAGATGTAACAGAGATCGATATCTTTATGCAAAATATCACAGCATCTACAATATTTATTTTTTATTTTCATTTTCAGGCATATCCTTAAACGCACACGCAATTTCAAGTGGATTAGTCCTACTGAGAAATCGCTATAAAAAACACACTGTGTCATCTACTTCGAGGTGGTGTTGAAACGATGTCTTGAAATGAGCTGTATTATCGAATTTTCAATCTTAAATTTGTCATTGAATAAAAAGTTTGATTTAAAATAATTTAATTACGAGTTGAACCATAGTGATTAAAAATTTATAAACAAAACTAGCTTGCTGGGCGAAGATAAGTTGAAAAAATTGTTCAAAAAAAGGTACACGGATGAATTCGAGCGCAAAAGTAAGAAGCTGTAGCCGCTCGGCCACGCATGTATTTGCAAGCTCATGTTTAGAAGTGATTCATTTGCTGTGCCCGAAGGCTTTGGTTTGCAAAGCTGTTCGGTGATGAGGTTAGTGCGCATGCTCGGCGTTCGTAGAAAGAGACAGAGAGTCCCGTTACAGCATCTGTCTCTTTCTCACCGAGACCCACGCCGCTACGGCTAACCCGCAGTCTATATCTCTTATGTGTATGTTCGCTATGCACAAATAATGATAAAATAAAGTTGTAACCCACGAAATGGGATGATTTCCCGTAATTTTATCTTCACGATGCTAAATAATAGAAAAAATGAGAAATAAAATTGATTGATATGACCAGAAAACTTTGACAGAGAGTAGATAACGAAGACGCGTTAGGATAGAATATAATTTTTCTCTACCACTTGATTGCAGACGCGATTCTCAGAATATTCTAATGAATAAAAAAATATCTTGAATTCTCAAAAAAGGTCACCCCTTTGACTTAGGTACTTTGAATGAATTATTAAACTAAAATACTAAAATCGTGAACAAATCAAACGTTCTAGTCGATCGCATATATTTTCCAACAATGTAGACGGAAATGAACGTTTGTTCGAGGTAAACAATAATTTGAAGAAATAACATGAAAAATAAGGATGCTACGCAGCATTGCTACATTGCAATGGATGGAGATAAATATACTCATCGATCACCAGCTTTTGCAATAGGTCCAATACTTAGGCAGCACGTCTTAGTTATTTTGAATAATTTTTTAACGACAATCATCGCTTTTTACCTGTAGACATCCTTATTTTTCATGGTATTTCTTCAAATTATATTGTACCTCGAACAAACGTTCATTCCCGTCTACATTGTTGGAAAATATATGCGATCGACTAGAACGTTTTATTTGTCCACGATTGTAGTATTTTAGTATATAAATTCATTCAAAGTACCTCAGTCATAGGGCTTACCTTTTAAAGACTTCAAGATATTTTTTTATTCATTAGAATTTTCTGAAAATCGCGTCTGCAATCAATAATATAATGTTGCACTTTGTAAAAATACGTAGCTACATATACACGATAATATAGTTTTAGATGTTCTTATATTTTCTACATAATCATGTTCATATTTCTTACATCTCAGTTCATAATTTATCAAGATAGTTTCAACTTTTCTTCGTTCAAAATGTTTGTTCCCATTGGAGTTTACGTCAGTTCTTTTAGAGAAACAACAATTTTTTTTCTTAAAATTAATAGATACCGGCATTCAGAAAAATTTTCGTTCCTTACTTATTTTATCTTAAATTTAAATGTAAATTTCACAATACTGATGAATGATGAATTATGAATTTTTGAGAGACAACAAATTTTTTCTTGAAATTAAAAAATTTCGCCATCGAGAGAAATCTTTACACCCTACTGATTTCAACTTATATCTCAATATAAATTCTAGAATACTGATCATGATGATCATTTTATCATCACAAATGATTATTATACAAAACACGAGTAGCGTTCTTTTACTCAAGCGACTCATCAAGTGAGGGTAATTCAATTTTTTTTAAACAGGCATGCTAGAATTATAATAAAATAATTTTTTCAGTTTTTTCTGCAACTAGTAAAAATGATTAAATGCATTTTTTAAATAATTAAAATACTTTCAAACGGTATTAATTTAATTAATTTCAAACCGACTAAATTATTATTACTCGACTAAGTTAACAAAATTTATCATTATTAGAGAGAAGCTTTTGTTTTTGTAGGTTTTACATGGATATTTTAACACCAACTACAGTGAAAAAAAATCAAAATTCGCGCACTCGGTCATGCGCGTTGCTCACTTCGTGCCGCTCGCGTCGCAACTTGCAACTCGATTCTGCTACAGTCACATCTGACATTTGTTGTAGTGGCCGCATGGAGAGAGTGTAAACAAAAGTTGAAAAAAATCTTTTCATCCATAGTTATAGCAATGAATCAGCCGTCTGACATCAAAGTACTGTGCACGCAATTTTTAACGTTATATTTTACTACGTTTATGCATGATTTTCACTAACTCGAATTAATTATTTGTTAGGAAATCGCGACTCTGAGAGTACTGCATCTTCCTCCGCTGCTGTCCGACGAGCGACGCGATGAACTATTCAAACATTACGGCGCCGTACGAACGAGAACGATCAGAAAATCAGCCAAGTACACGATAACGTTCGTCGAATTTCCGAATCAACGTCACGCCGAGGAGGTGCTGGCGGTGCTGCATCAATTGCCGGTCAAAGGTCGTCGACTCTCCATCGAGTTCGCCGAGAGAAATGTGTCGGCGGCGGACAAGGAGAACACGATCCAAAACGAGGACTCGATCAAGGCCGACGTCGACCTCGAGCAGAGCAAAATCAATTTCCAAAAGTTCATGAAGAAGTTGAACACATGGGCTCCTTTTCATGTGCTGACGCAGCCCGTTCCACCCAGCTTGCGTTACAAGTATCCTGAACCAAGTGCAAACGTTCTTTTGAAAATTGCAATGCAGCTGCATCGGGTGCCTGCTTTTTATACACAAGTATGAAGTGACGAGTGTTGTTTTTATCAATGAGATTACAGAATCACAATGTTGACACAATATTTTGTTACAGGTTTTGCATTTGATGAACAAAATGAATCTGCCGGCACCATTTGATAATTTTGAGGAACGAGATCCATTGATTAAAGATGCGTATAAAGACATTGGATCATTCAGAGAATTTCTTGGAGTTCAGGAGCTTAATAAAAATAACCGAGGTAAAATCAATATTTTTATGCTAACTAAGTAATCAATTGTATTTTGAATTTTAGCGTATTTCATTTATATCTTTTTTTATTTTTATTTTTAGAGTCCTTGTTGCACAGTTATTCAGAATCAGAAATGTTGTATACAAAATCTACACAGGATATGCAAAATCTATTCGTGCCACAACAGGTTAATGATGTTCAGGAACCTTCAGAAATTGTTGAAGAAGATGATGAATCCGAATTAGAATCTGACCATGAAATGTCTAGTACATCAGAAAATATTATTCCACTCAAAAGAAAAAGAGCACAATTAACCAATCGACCAAAAATTCCTAAATTTTTTAATCCATACAAACAGCCTGCTAATCTATCAACTGGATCAAAACCTAAGCCCCAAGATATGTTTGATTTACCACAAGTTAGCTCTCGTAAAATACAAGTAAAACCTATTGAGTCTGTTAAACTGTTATCTGAAAGTACTCCACCATTTATAGTGGAAAAAAATACAGAAGTGGAAGGTTTTGGACTTATTACAGCAGTAATGAATACTGAAGAAGAAACTGAAAAGGGTGAAAAAGGTCAATTAGAAAATGTACCAGAATGTATAGATTCTGAGCAGCTTGCTAAAAATAAAATATCAGCCAGTGGTAAGCGTTGCGCTAAATTGCATCCAATTTATTTTTTTAAATTAAATTCATATCATCTTAAAAAATAAATATTTTTATTTTCAGATCAAAGATTACTACCTGTATTCAAAAATTATCATCCTGGAAAGCCCTCTAACCGTTTATACATTAAAAATCTTGCCAAGCAAGTGGAAGAGAATGATTTGCACAGTATCTATAGAAAGTACATTTTACCAGATTCAAATCCTGGAGAATCAGAGTAAGTTCAAGTTCATTTTAGTGATTTGAATTCATATAGTTTAAAAATTAAAATTAAAATTAAATGTTTCTAATTTTTTTTTCAGATACAATGTACGTCTCATGCAAGAAGGCAGAATGAAGGGTCAGGCATTCATTACGTTGCCAAACATTACTCAAGCACAATTAGCTCTCAATGAAACAAATGGTTACATTTTAAAAGAAAAACCAATAGTTGTACAATTTGCAAAAGCTGCAAAGAGTTAGCCTTCGATTTTCGAAAGTTGATGTAAATTTGTAAATATTTGATGTCAATTGTAAATTTGTAAATAGTCGAAACCAGCACTTGTAAATAGTTTAGTTAAATTGTTTGTTATGATAATTATAATTTTCAAATTAATCATTCCAGTCTCAACGTATTTGTTTTTCTATAACAGAGATACTAATATTTTGATAGGAGTTCAACTTTGGTTTTGAATTAAATTTTAAATCTTTGTTTTTCTATGTAAAAAATGTTACATCTAATTGTCATAAAAATTGCTATCAGTATATCTTACAAGTTTTGTCGGGTACAATCAAATTAATCTTCTCTAAACCGATTATCTATATACAAGTTTCGTATGTATACAAAAGCGTACGATGTGTATACATCTTAAAATTCGTGATTCATGCGCGCGAACACGTCGACGATCTCGGTGAGCGCGGCGAGGTCGTTCAACTCCTCGGGCAGCGAGTTGTCCGAGGCGTCGACCGGCGCCCCGTACATGAAGTACTGCATGCGGCCTTGCTGATCGATCATTAAGCTCCTGGCCAGGTTGGGCACCATGTCGTTGGCCCCGACGTCCAGCTGGACGATGTAGGCGTGGGGTCGGCCGCGCGCGTCCTCGTGCAGCATCACGTGCCAGCCGGGCGGCAGCTGGAGGCCGCACTCCCGCAGATGCTGCCAGAAGCTGTGGCAGTCCTCGTTCTCGCAGCAGTGCCTCGCGGCCCAGCCGCCCTCGGCCAGGCCGTTTCCGTTGCCGTTGCAGGTGCCGTTGGTGGCGAGGTGATTCACGGGTACCGATGAGCGACGAGGAGGTTGGCCCGCGTACAGCGGAGGCGCCCCCGTCGACGGCTGGCTGTGACGACGTCGGGGCGTCACCCGGCTGTTGACGCGCGTTCTCAGCACCCCGGGCAACCCGGGAGGAGGACCCATGGCTACGAGCCGCTGCTGTTGGGGCGATGGCCGACCCCTGCGCTTCATGAGTTCCAAGATTCTCATATGGTCTACAAACGGTCGCATCAGCAGCGGCGGATCATTCGGGACGATCGGCCGATCATTCGGGACGATCGGCGGATCATTCTCTTTGAAGGTCGTCTCCCTCGGCGTGGTCCGGACGTTCTGCACGTTGATCTTCCGAGCCTTGGTGACCAGCAAGTTCCACAGCTTCTCCTGGCTTCTCCTGTCGTCGTCGTCGTCGTTGCCGTCTTCGCTGTAGTCTTCGCTGTCGGATATCGGCGGCGGGGTCTTGGCGATTCTTCCAGGCCTTCGCTGTCTAAACTGCCACGCGGGCACGGATCTGCACTCGTCGGCCGGTGATCCGTTGATATTATTCCCGTTGCCGGTAGGCGACTCCCATTCTCGCAAGGCCCGCTTGGTATCGTCTTTCATCACCCTCGGGACATCGGCCAAGTTCGTGAATCGTCCGGAGCGTACGATCGGATAGGGATGGTCGTACAGCCGATTTCTCACGCCCGTCGCTCCCGACGGCGATGTTGGTGGTCGTCGTGATCCTCGTGGTAGCGGTGACGCAGGCGGTAACTCGTCGCTGTCGTTTTCGGACTCGCTGTCTGTCGAACTGATGCTCTCGACGGAAAGGTTTTTCGTCACGTCCTCCGCGAGCTGATTCACCGGCTCGTCTGCAGGCTCCTGTTTGACGGCCACCACCGCTGCCGCCGCACCCTGATCGGGATCGACCACCGAATTGGTCACTGCCTCCTCCGTGAGCTGATTCACCGGCTCGTCTGCAGGCTCCTGTTCGACGGCCACCACGGCTGCCGATGCCGCCGCACCCTGATCGGGATCGACCACCGAATTGGCCGCCTCCTCCGCGAGCTGATTCACCGGCTCCCCCGGCTCCTGTTTGACGGCCACCACCGCTGCCGCCGCACCCTGATCGGGATCCACCACCGGATTGGCCGCCTCCTCCGTGAGCTGATTCACCGGCTCGTCTGCAGGCTCCTGTTCGACGGCCACCACGGCTGCCGATGCCGCCGCACCCTGATCGGGATCCACCACCGGATTGGCCTGCACCGCCTCCTCCGTGGGCGACGACGACAGCTGGACATCGTCGTACTTCCCGTTGATGATGTCGTTGGCGATCCTCACCGGCACGGCAACGGGCAACGGCTCGATCGTCCTCACCAGTACGGGCTCGGGCTGTCCTTCGCGAGCGGGCGAGATGCGATTTCTTATCACGGCCACGACTCGGCTGTCCTCGTCGAGCATCAGTGGCGGTGGTGGTGGTGGTTGTTGCGCGATTTCCTCCTCGTCGTGGTTTTTCGGGTCGGATCCGTCCTTATCCATTTTGATGAATAATTTTTTTTTTTTTTTTGCGGAAACACGAGAAAGTTCGCGCGTGGACTCGTAGATCGAGGGCAGTAGCGCAACTGAACGACCGGTGTTACTCTCGTGTGATTCGATGGATTCGTCAATGTTTACATTTTCGAAACGATCGCCTAATTGTAACGTCGAAGTAGTGGGAAAATTTTACATGTTTCGTTTGAATATTTGCGTTAAGAACGAGGCAACAGTTTAAAAATTGTTTACGTTAAATTCTTCTGACGGCTGTTAAAGAGAAAATAAAATATGTTGTTATTTAACTATGAATTTTTCCACAAAAAGAAGTATGAATTTACATGCATAATTAAAAGTCATAAGTTTGATTTTTTGATATATTTTATTTTAATCATTAAAAATATATTATGTTCTATATACAAAATTAGAATTATCTAACATAGTAAAGTAGGGATTAGCTTGTCAATACACGAGCTCAATGTCTGGCTTTCTTCTTTCCGCCTTTCTTCATTCGTTTTTGGTATCCCTTTGACTGTTCGGTATCATCATCTTCATCGTCACTCTTTCTCTTCCTTTTATCGTTCTTTTCTTCGAGCTTCTTCATTTCAAGTTTAGCCGACCTCGCAGCTTCAGCAACTCTATTTGAGAGATCATCTATTCCACTTTCATCAGTTTCAAAAAGAGGCAATTTTTTTCCAATTAAATGTTCAATTCGTTGGTAAAGTTCAATATCATATTGTGTAACAAAAGTAATTGATACACCAGCTCGTCCAGCACGAGCTGTTCTTCCTACTCTATGAATGTAATCTTTACTGTGGGTAGGAATGTCAAAATTGATTACCACGTCAACGTGAGGGATATCCAAACCTCTACTCGCAACATCTGTACATACTAAAACCGATCGACTTTTGGCTTTGAATTTTTCCAGCGAAGCAAATCTTTTAACTTGTGACATTTTCCCATGTAATGGTACAGCTAAGTATCCTAGCTGACGAAGTAGTAAAGCTGTGCGCATGGTATTGCTGGCAGTGGAGCAGAAAATAATGAAACTCTGTCCAGATAATGTTTCCAAACAATTGATCAAATACGTATCCTTCAATTTCATGGGAATAAATTTATAGTATTGTTTCAATAATTTCACAGTCTGATACTTAGTTGAAACTTCAACCTTGACTGGATTTCTCAATGAAGCTCGTTGTAACTTAGCTACTTTTTTGGTCATTGTAGCAGAGAACAACAAAGTCTTACGCTCTTTTGGTATGATACTCAAAATTTTGTTCAATTCATCTTCAAAGTCCATGTTCAATATTCTGTCAGCTTCGTCCATCACCAAGAACTTCAGAGCCCTCAAGTTGAACCCTTTTGTATTTTCCAAGTGATCTACGAGCCTGCCAGGAGTGGCAATGATGATGTGTGGCTTCTTGGCAAGAGTGATCGCTTGCTGGGTCATGTCCACGCCACCCACGATGACTGCACAAGTGACACCGAGACTCGTTCCCAGAGCCTCGAACTGCTGTCTGATCTGATCAGCCAGCTCTCTTGTCGGTGTCAAGATCAATGCATAGAACGAGTGAGGTCTGTTCAGCAGAGCTTGCAATATTGGCAGAGCGAAGGCCGCAGTCTTACCCGAACCAGTCTCAGCCAAGGCGATGATGTCGCTACCCTTCAATGCGTGCGGAATGGCTTCTCTCTGGATTTTCGTGGGTTTGGGCCAATTCATCTCTTCGGCTTTTTTACACAGAACTTCGATCAAGCCCAGATCCGCGAACGTGCACGGATCTTCGTCGTCGTCGTCGTGAATGTTATCGAGCTGACGCTCGTCGCCGCTATCGGATCCGGACATCTTTTTCAATGCAAAACACAATAAACTTTTTCACAAAAACAAAAAAAAAGCCACAAACTTTGTCGAGAACGCGAGAGTCGATTCGAGAATTTTACGACACGTGCACGGCAGCGTGTGTACTGTGTACAAGTTTCAACTGGTATAAACGATGCACCACATGGCGCAGCCTGCGAGCGACGTCTGCGAGTGGACAGTAGCGCCCTCGCTTCAAACGCGCGCGGTGGAGTCGCACTAACGACGCCGGTAACTTTCAATCTTACCTACCAGTGTCGTGTTTTATAAAATTTCAAAATCATCATATCTGTCGGTATCTGATATGAATTTTGCAAGATCTACGGAATCAAGTGTTAACCGTTTAATCGCTAACGCGCTTCTGCGTTACATTTAATTATCTCAAAGTTTATTCTTTAACGTTGGGTGCTCGGCTTATCTTAATCTACCTGATTTATTATAATTCACGGTCGTTGCCAGAAAAGGTCGAAGGGACACTTCACTTCACGAGGAGTTGTCTTGCAAGCTTCATTTGAAATCGCACTTTTATTTTATCTTTCTTTAAAATGATACTTTCTAAAATGTATCTCTCCATCCTGATTTGTATGTATGATCTCAAATAACGTTATGAAAAAGGGATCTTTATGTGTTTTAAAATGCATTTTCTAATCGAAACGAAATCTTTCGAAAATACAATATTTTTCAAATATTTAAAAATTACATCTTTGAATTTGTTCTTTTCTAGATTATGCCCGTTAAACTGGGAAAATCATTCGATCTCGCCTGTCATAAAACATTGCAATATCAACGAGTCTAACGCTTTTAACGAACAAACAAAACTTTCTAACTGGATCGCTTTCGGGTGGATATTATAATCGCGACACGGAACTCTCACTGAGGATCCGAAATTACAGGATTTATCAAATTGCCCGAACGTCGAACGTCATCATTGGCGGCCGCGTCAAGTACGTTAAGTATGGAAGATTTCGAGTGAACATCGAAAAAGAAAAACAAGCGTGTAATTTGTTACTTAACATTACAAACAAAAAAAAGATGAGGTAACGCGAATGATTGATTGGGCATTTAAAGCGTCGTTCGATATAGTATAGGAACCAGAGTTGTGTGTATAACATATTAAACAGCTGTCATCGATGCACCGCCTATAACACAACGTAAACAGTAAACAATCGGCGTGGCGCATCTTGGCTTGATATTCGAAGTCCCGTAACACACATACACACGCAATGCTCCTTCGTTCATAATTTGATTTTAATATTGAATATTTTAAGTTAAAAAATACGTGCAAAGCCCAATAATTAACTATTTTATTGCTGCTGCTGCTGCGATCCATTTTTTCACATTAACGAGCTTGAATATAATAAAACGGCAAAAAAAAGTAAGTGATCAGTTCGCGCAGACGCGTCGGGCCCACGCGGACACGTAGGCAGCCCCGCGCACTCGGCAGTGCGCTCGACTCGCGGTGCGCCGTAATAATAATAGTGGCAAATATACACACACAACACTATACCAGGCAAGAAGTATAGTGGCAAGAATCAAGCCACAGTATATGGTCTCTCTCTCTCTCTCTCTTTCTCTCTCGTGCACTTTTATCGCGCGGGCAGTGTGTCTTTCTCTCTCTCTTATGGCGTTTGTTGACGCGCAGCAGTACAGCACGCTCATTAGCCCATGAGAGAGAACAGCTCCAAAGTGTATACACACACATACGCGCGCGCGCACACATGTATACCACCACCTCGCGGTGTATACGTATACATTGCATCAGAGCGTCAACACATGTAAGCACCGATACTGTGCCTCGTTGCGAATGTGTGTGTGTCGATGTGTATAATATACCTATAGTTCGACTCTCTCGCTCAGGCAGCAGCAGCAGCAGCAGCGCACGGGGCAGTGCACGACTTTTCTTTTTCGGAGCAGTCAGCCAGCCAGCCAGTCAGCGGCAGAAGGCACACTTTATATATACACATTAAAAGCAGCATATACCCAATATAATACACAATCATCGCCACCGCAGTCAGTCGGTAGCGAGAGCTCGAGAGCAGAGCAGTGGTATATATATATATTATCCGCATATACGAGTCGCGCGCGTTCGACGACGATCGAGTGAGACCCTCCCTCCGTATCGTATACACACACAACACACGGCACACAATCCAAAAAGTCACAAACCATCGTTCGTGCGATAAAAGTTACTCTCTTGCCCACCGATATTATCATGATGATGGATCTGCTGCAGCATACCGTGTACGCGGTGCCGGTCGTACTGGTGCTGGTCTGTGCCGTCCTAGTGTTCGCGTTCGGCTTCAGGAAGGCCGAGCAGCCGCCCTTCGCCCATCTGTCGGCCCAGGCCGACGTAGCCGAGCGCAAGGTCCAGACGAAGAAGAAGTCCAAGAGCAAGGAAAAGGTACGTGGATGCACGCATGCACTGCATTGGATGGATGGATGGACGATGCCGCGGGCTGCTCCGTATTTATATTTTGTATAACGCGATACGGGTACGTATATAGGCACCCAAGCCTGTACGCGCGCATCAACATTAGCTCGCGTATGCACATTTTTTGGACACAAGTTTGCCATTTCGAAATTTTGCTCTTTCTCACCGAGATTTCTCTCTCTCTGATTCGCTTTCTTTCTTTCTTTCTTCGTCTCTCTCTCTTATCTCTCGTAAGGCACCAGCTGTGCGCGATAAGGAAAAAAATAAATGTATGCGCGACGCACACACACGGGTCATTATACATACGCGTATATGTATGTATGAGAGAGAAAGAGAGAGAAAAGCGTTTGGAGGTTAAGACGACGGTTTTTCTGCAGCGCAGCGCAGCACACATATACACACACATGTCTGCATAATATAGGTACTGCACTGCACTCTCCGCGCGTTGCATTTCGTGCGTGTGCCATACGCGTTACACGCGAATCGATATGTTACACACGAGCATGGGTCGCGCGAGGAATCATTTTTTTGACTCGTTGGCGACACATATACATACGAGACGCTCGCGATTCTCCCATCCATCATCGTCATCGATCTCTCTCTCTCTCTCTCGCTCTCTTAAAAAAAGCCACAAAGATTATCGGTTCGATCCGACTGGCAAGTGTACATCGACACCTTCCAAAATAGTTTCCATATGCCGCATGGTACGAGAAAAAAAAAAACAATCGCCTGGAAAATAAAATCAACAATGAGAGCTGTCGTCCGGTCCTATAAATATACCTATTTCTCGCGCGCGCGCGGGGACACTACACGACGAGGAGAGAGTAGCGCTCGCGGCCGTCGTCGTCTACGTTTTTAGGCCTCGTCTCGCGGTGTGCTGCACATTATAATCGGTACGATTTCTTGGCATATGTTGGATTTTTGATACTGTCGGCCGCCGTCGCGGCCAAGCGAGAGAGAGACTCTCTCGGCCGCCCCGTTTGCGCGCGTGCATACCAAAGTCGCGCTGCGCTCTCTCTCTCTCTTACTTTGCTCCGCTTTTTGCATTGTGTGTATAATAATAACACCTGTATATGTGTGCGTATGTATGTGTGTGTATTATACGATATACGGTCATTACCGTTATCGCGGAGCAACGGCAGCGCGCCGCGCCGCGCACAGTTTACGGGCCAAAAGCAATAATAAATAGGCAATAAAGAAAAAAAAACGCAACGATTATTGTAGCGAGAAAGGCGTGTGCGTTACATAGAAAATACATGTGTGTGTGCGTGTGTGTTGTTGTACCTGCACACGCGCATTCCTTTTGCCATCGTCGTCATCGTTGTGTCGCCCATATGTATAACGCGCGTGACTCGCGTCGTACACAACAAGCTTGCTCGCGTGTATCTCTCTCTCTCTGCGAATATGTGTGTGAAAAAATAAAAAAATTTCGCTTCTCTCTCTCTCTCTCTCTCTCTCTCTCTCTGGTTCTCGAGCGAACAGCCAGTGGCTGCCATACCGCGCGTTATTCTCTATACCTTTAAATTATAATGAAATTCGACGGTCAACGAGGCCAAGAGAGAGACAACATTGGAGTTTTCTCTCTTTCTCTCTTTTCTGCCTTTTTCTTCGTCGTTTTCTTGTCTCGTTGTTGTGGCTGCTGCTGCTGGTGGCTACTGCCTGCCTCCGTCCGTCCGTACGTCCGTCCGCGGCCGGAGTGAATGTCAACCGGCGCGATGCAGCACACGTCATATAGAGAGAGAGAGAGACAGTTATAAGACACACACTCATGCGAATATACAGTGCATATAACAGACACACACACACGATGTGTATAGTGCAAGTCATACACATTGATGGTCATTCGTCGTCGTCGACGTCTCTTTCTCTCGGCGCATATAATATAAACCGTATACGAACGAATCGGCGATCTCGTTTATTATACGAAATAACGTATTCGTTGATAATTGCCCTTTTGTCCATTCTTAATGCGAGTGTCTCTTTAAAAATTATTGCCACGCTCCGATTTTCTCTCTCTCTCTCTCAACTACACGTCGTCGTCGTCGTCGTGTCGCAATCGCGTCATCGAATCGTTACGACGAGGCCGTTAAAAAAAAGAAAAAAAAAGGAGGAGAGAAAAATCAAAGAAATTAACATATCTACTTTTCCCATCGCCAGCGTACATATACAGCCAATATGCATATATACATAACGTTCGTCGTTTGGTAATTTCCGATATCGCGCATGTACGTACGATACATTAAGTGCCCGCATTATTCAATCGCTAATGGAAAACAATACGTTCGCCTCTTTTTTTTTTGCTCTTTACTTCGCGTTTCTCCTATATATGTACTCGTCGTATGCCTCTCTTTTTTCGCGCTCGAGCTTCGCTTCGGCGACGAATTCTTTGACTCGCGTTTCGTATATATACAGCCAAATGCACGTATATAATATATGCTGTGCTCGCTCGCTCGGAATATCGGCATGACAGCACGTATATTATATACGCACACACATTTCGAAGATTGGAAAAGATCGTCGTCGTGCCGCAAATATATACGTGCGGGTTTAACAATAATCGTGCCACACTCGCGATATTATATCTCTGTATCGGTGCATATATACGTATATTGCGAACCTCCTCGCGCGCACGTAATACACGATGTACGTACACACACGTGTGCGCTCGTCTCACCTGTTTCGAAAAAAAAAAAAAATCAAATAAAATCCCATCGATCTCTCTCCTCTTCTTTATATCGCATTATCCAACTTTTATAACGGGTCATCGACCACGTCCTCGTCGTAGTTCCATACATATTATGGGAAAAAAAAAGAAGAAGAAATGTTTAGAGAGAGATTCTCTCGAAAGCGTCACCCAGCTATGTCCGTGTGTTATGTTTACGTATGTGTATGTGATCGACTCTCTTCGCGCAAACACATACTTTAACGCGCGTATGTGTACGAGGTATAGCACGTTACCTGCGCGTCTTCAATGCCACGCGGCCTCTTCTTCCTCTTCTACACTCGCACGACTTGGCATTTTTCTCTCCCTCTCTCTTTCTCTCTCTCTTTTTTTGACCACCTGTACGCGTGTATATAAATATAAATATACATACACTCGCTGCTCTCTCTCTCTCTCTCTCTCGCCTGAATATTCTTTTTTTTTCGCGCAGATCAGAGATCGAGAACGAGCGCCGCTGTATTTCCCAAAATTTTCCCCAAAAAGCTCGAGACGATCGTACGTGCTACACAGAGCTCGTGTGCCTTTTTTGGCACGCGCGTACGGCTCGATCGCGGTGCATAGTCTACGTGTAATTTAATTATAATTCTAGAGGAAGCTCCGGCGGCAAAAAGCCGAGCCATATGTTAGCCGCGTACGGAGTCATTTTTGGTTCGTCGCGAGCGCGCGCGCCGATAAATGTCTCGATACACTTTCATGTATACCTCTCGCGCAGGGTCGATAATTTTTCTCTATCTAATCGAACGTATATAATGTATACACTGCACCGTCGTCGCCATCGTCTCGGATGCTTCGCCGCGTGAATACACATACGTACTGTATGCTCGAGAGCTGATAAAAAGGCTCGCGACATCGTATAATTGATAATCAGGTCAACTGTGTAACGACAGGGTTAACGATAAAGATTGGACGCCACGATGTACCTCTTTCGCTTTTTCAAGTGCACGCATTGCGTGACGGCTGCGTTGCACAATAGCCAAATAATAAAATAAATGAAATGATTACTCGACCTCTTAGGAGAGCTAGGTATGCACACAATAGAGCCCGAAAACTCGAGCGCGCGCGCGCGTCGCAGTAGCACCTTCAATATTATATTGCTTTATTTATAAACTCGAGCTAATTTCGCGGGGGGAATTTTCAATTTTCAGCGCGCGGCCAATGGTCAGGTGGCTGCGGAAAAGACGAGCCCCAAGCGTACGACCAAGGTGGAGACCACCGCCGCTGCCAAGAAGGCCGAGACCAAGGAGCAGCAGCAGCAGAAGAAGCAAGACGAGCAGCCCAAGACCAAGAAGGAAAAGGTCGTCGTCAAGGAGAACGAGCAGGCCAAGAATAAGAAAAACTTGAAGAATGCCCAAGAGAAGCCGATCGATTACGATGAAGGTGCGTTGATGATATTTTATATAGGATTGCCTGTAAATCGATAATCATGAATTTGCATCCGTTTAACGATGAATTTTTCCGAATCCACAGGTGATTGGGAGCAAGCTTATTCTCGCAAGGATAGAATGATGAAGAAGAAGAAGGAGGAAGAGATCGTGACACCGAAAAAGAACAACAAGAAGGCCAAGAAAGCAGATGCCACCAACAACGCCAACAACAAGGACCAGAAGAGAGCCGCTGTCAAGGACAAGGTAGCCAAGGAAACCGAGAACAAGGAGCTCAAGGAGAAAGTCGACAAAGAGGTCGTCTTGGAGCCGGTCGCCGATCAGGTAGCCGAAGAAAAGGTCGCCGAAAAGATCAAGGAAGACATCGAGACCAAGGAAAAGGTCGAAGAGAAGACGGTGGAGAAGGTCGTCGAGGAGAAGAAGACCGGAAAGGGCAAGAAGGGCAAGAAGAACGCCGAGAACCAGAAGGTCGAAGCCGCCGCTGCCGCCAGCGAGCCAGCGGTGGTCGTCGAGGCGAAAAAGACCCCGGCAGTTCCAGAAGCTCCGGTAGCCGTCGAGGCCGAGACCAAAGAGAAAGAAGTCAAGGCTAAAGAGGCTCAGCCAGCTTCCAACGATGCCGGTACGTAGATATCTTTGTTTTTTTTGTTGCTTTTTTTTCGGTCGAAACTTCTGTGCGTAATTTTTATTTATATAATTTTTTTTCCTATCCACAGATTCTTGGAACGAGGCAAAACCAGCAAAGAAAAACAAGAGGAAAGCACGCAAAGATTAATGAACGGTTGATTATTTAGAAGCAAGACGAGATATGTAAAAATATCTTGGGTCGTCTGTGCAATATTGCATTGTGCAGCTGCTTCCGATAAAAGCGAGAGAAGACGGCAAAAAGTTGATTTTTGTCTGAGAGCTCAAGAAATTGAAGTAAAAAATTATAGTAATTTTATGCTTCATTGAAAAAGTTTATTCAAGATTTATATATTTTTTCGATGGTAAGTTGACAAATGTCTACTGCTTATCATCGTAGATGTTGAACACTGTCATAGAATCATATTGATCTGTATGTCAGTCAGAGTTGCTACGAAAATGAAATGCATGATTACTACTTGAGATTTTCAAGTGTTTGGCTATGTATTTATTTGAACATATTTAATTATTGAATGATCTTGTTTCATTTGTTTATTATTATTTTTTTAATCTTCAATCTCGAAGTTGGAAACTAAAAATTATTTATTTCAAAAAAAGACATTTTCAAAACACTTCGTTATGTGTAAATTTGTTAAAGATAGAAATTAAAGAAAATTATATTGCATATTATTTAAAAAAGAAGAATATAATTGCAAATAATCATCACTTATAATAATATGATTTGAACTTGTCATAAACACAGTGAATTACTTATGTAAAATCACCGAACTAGCATAATGTGACATTGTTAAATCTAAAGATGTCATCTTATTTATAAACAAAAGAGTAACAAAGTTACTTGTTAGAGAGAACGAAAAAAGTATGAAATAGTGATTCATAAAAATATGGAGCGTTGATGTGTCTCTGACTTTAGGAATCATGTGTATAACTTTTTATAAAAAAAGCCAGTTTTTAAATTATACTAACAAACGAACAATCGTATTAGTTGATTGCATTCTTATAAATGCTTTTTATATATATTTGCTGATTTCCAAAGCTCAATTTGTATTTTAAAATGGCGTTTGTTAAGTATAATTTTTCAATTTTACATTCAAATAAAATTAAATAAAAGTATGGTAAAAAAATAAGTTATTGGAGAGCTTTGAGCTATGAAAAATTATTTATAGTGTAAAAATGGTATATTGTAATATAAAATTCGGTCAAAGTTTGTCTCGGTTATTTTTGAATTGTATCATACAATTTTTTCATTTTCAATTTACAGTGCCTTGGTAAATTTTGTACCTTTAAAAATGACAAAAAAAATTCTGGATGTCAATCACTTTCCATTCTTGTTTATTGAGAAATACCGTTTAATTGTACTTAAAATTAATTTTTTAAGTGATTCAAGCAATATGCACATTTTAGTACACTGTAATTTACACAATTAGGTTGTATGTATGCTGAGTTGTTTAATGAGCGTGAAAATACTTTGTATAAAAAGTAAAAAAAAAAATCAACTTTATGAATATAAAAATTATATTCAAATTTTAATATCTATAAAAGTATATTTTGAATAACATCACAATTGTACATATAGTGAAATATACATTGTGCATATAGTGGTTAGTTTACATAATGAAATGGATATGAGTTATACATATGCCATGTGAACTGTACAACGTCCTGTGTTTGAAATTATTGTTAAGCTAAACATATTGCATAAATTGTAAATATGTATGTATATTCAGAGAGAAAGAATTCATTGAGGGTTCCAAATACTCAGAGTAATTACTTTTCCTCTTGATATGTTCATCTTATCTTTTTTTAAATTATAAATGTTGTACCTCCGCCAGTTGTGCAGATTTATGATGTTCAATTAAATTGTATATAGTGATATTTTACATAATTATTATTCTATTTCAATATAGTCTGAGTTTTTGTAGACTTCAATTAGCTGCCTCTGGTCCTATATGATCATCATTAAATTTAGTTGACATTCCATTAATTTTTCCAGAAGTAAACATTTTTAGACTACAATTTTGTAGCTACATCTAAGTTTTTTTTTTATTATATTTTCGTAGTTCTGTACTTGTATGTAGTGTGGTTTATATTTAAATACGGGAAATAAATAATGAATGCATAATTATTGAAATTTTTAATATTACTCGTAATGCTTATGTTGTAAATCTGTTCATAAGTGAGTCCAATTGAGTGTTTCATGAATGTTGCTGTGCAACTTTTTTAAAAGTAGAGTAATAATATTTTTATGACTTTTGCAACGTCCACATTTTATTAATATTATCAGGATCTTTGGTGTAAATTAAAGTATGAATAAGAAATGATGGCTTATGTAATATTATTTAATCAATTACGATAAATGTATGAAATCAAATTTTTTTTCAAGACAAAGTGGAAACCATACAGACACACTTTCTTATGTAAAAGTATGATTATAACATTGCCAGATTGAATATTTATGTTGCTACTGACAATTGATCGATGTCCTATTACGTATAGAACGAAAAAAAATGTAAAAATTCCCGCTTCCACTTCTGCTTGAGAAAAAAAGTAATGCGAAACAAAGGCTTTTTATTATTAGCTATAATTATTATAAATGGAAAAATAAAAAATATCTGATGTCTTGGGCTGCGGTATAAACGACGTTAAATGTTCCAAGAATTATAATGTGATGCTACGATAACTATGTTGAAATGTGAATGTGAAAAGGAAATGATAAAAAAAGTGGTTAATGAAGACTATTTTTCCAGCATTTAAAAAATTGTTATTCATTTATCCCTCTTGTCCTTTTCAAGCTATGAATGAAAATAAATCATATCCTAATTTGTAAAATTTCAAAGAACTTAAAGCTAAAAATCGACTACGCTCGTCCAGATTAAAATTATAAATTATTTAAAATTTTAAGTGTTAGAGTTTATAATTTTCATTGACATGACGATTTGACAGTTAGTTAGTTTAGTAAGTTTTTATTGGCATCATAGTTGGTATACATTGCGCTGCTGTGACGATTTGACATCTATCGTCTGTACGATGCTGCCATCGGACGATCTGCGAGCTTAACTCTCGTTGCATTTTTCACTAGTCCCGTAGCAGACGCCGCGATTCACATGAGCGGTGTCGCGCAGCGATTCGCTTTTTTGTTTATTTTGCACTCACTTGCAGTACATTTGTGAATTCATTTTAAAACACAGGCTCAAAGTAAGTGCAAAGGTGAAACATTTTTTTGTGTTTTGCAAAAATCGTAAAATCGAAGCTTCGATAATCGATGCCGAAGCTACGAATTAACATAACCTGCGCCTCGTTTGGGAGTTTGGTAATAATAGAGTATTTTGATGAATTTTGCAGAAGATGTGGTTGACGGATAAATTGTTCGCATTTCGTGCTCCTGGAAGAGGCAGAAAGCCTCAACCACCCAATGCCACAGTTTTCCAAGCGATTCTCCCTTTGAAACTGAAGGATAGAGTTTCAGGAAAACATGACAAATCCAAAGGTACGATTTCGCGTTGCAGTGTTTTGGAATTTAAAAATTACATATGAATAATAAAGCAACTTTGTATTTTTAGCTGGTGATTGCTTATATGAAATGTCCTTGGTTATCGCTTGTTTGAAAGAGAACGATTATGAAAATAAATTGTGTCAAAAAGAAGTTTCTGCTTTCAATGGTTGTTATAAAAAGTACCTGAAAGAGTCAGCAGAAAGTAAAGCAGCTCAACAAAAAGGTATCCTAGTACCTGGTGACAGAAATATGACTCGAAAACAAATTTCAAGGTTACTTAAGATTAGACCAATGTTATAGATTAGATTTTTGTAGAATAAATGCATCTATTATTGTTTACTTTGGTTAAATATGTCACTGAATATTGTAATAATATTTGCTCATTGCAAATGAGTTAAAATGTTTTTCAAAATAAAAAAATAAGTTGAAACAAAGGTTTGAATAAAATTTTTTATTTATAAAACAATATATAGCATCAGGTTTTGTGTGATCTAGAACAAAGTGTTGTTCCAAGTTGATAAAAGCATTTCATAACATGAATACTCTTTTTAGTCAATTCATTAATCATTCCTAATTGAATATCCGTTTAAAACTAGATTGTATAACACATGCACTTTTTAAAAATAGAAAATTTTCCAGTTTTCAAAGTTCAATAAGCCTCACAGCTCCAAACTGTTTATTTTTTCATAACTTGAATGACATCTTCATCAGCCATTGTATGTTGTAAACCAACTCTCTGAGGGGAGTATTTTGTACTTGTACCCTGCATAAGTAAATATTTTATTATTTATATTCAGAAGAGACGAATTGAATGTTGATAAAGAAATGATATTTACCCAAACTAATGCATATTTAAATTGTTCAGCTAATGTACGGTGAATGGCATGGCATACATGTTCTACAGTGACACCTTTTCTTAAAATAAGTCCATCATCAAAATCTGGTGGCTGTCCAGGTTTTTTTGTGTAAACTCTTATCAAAGCTAAATACTCCCACAGAGTTTCTAGCAAAAAGTCCAAATTCAACTTCATATTACAACTGTAAAAAATAAATATTTTTAGGACCTAATTGTAAGTATCAAATAAGAAGGAATTAAAATGTAAAATTTACCTGACAACAACACTATTTGGCTGTCTTGCAATCCTGTCTACCTCCTCAATAGAAATTTGATCTATTTTGTTATAAACATAAAGGCAAGGCAGATACACACGATTGGCATTGATGACATCAATCAATTCATCAGCACCGCAATCTTCTCTAAATAACACTTCGGCATTGAATATTTTATACTCGTGCAGAATCATCTGAACCAACTTTTCATCGACTTTGGTAAGAATGCAAGTGGAGTTGAACGATATTCCTCCACCCTTCTTTATTTTGAAATATATGTTGGGCTTTCTTTTGTTTAATCTTATACCAACAGATTCCAACTCTTTTTCCAACAGTTGTCTTTGTACATCTTGTTTTGTGGCGTCCAACATCATCAGAACCAAATCAGCTGTTCTCGCTACAGCGATAACTTGACGACCTCTACCTTTGCCCTGAATCAAAAATAGCAACAATTAGCAAAGCTTTTAACGATAAGCAACAACTTTCATAAACAACTCTACCCACCTGAGCAGCACCTTCGATGATACCAGGCAAATCGAGGAGCTGTATATTGGCACCTTTGTACTCTATGACACCGGGTATGCACGTGAGGGTCGTGAACTCGTAGGAGGCGGCCTCGGACTCGGTGTGGGTCAGCGTGCTCAGCAGGGTGGACTTTCCCACCGAGGGAAAACCGATGAGGGCGACGCGAGCATCGCCGGACTTGAGCACGTCGAAACCTTCGCCCTTTTCGCCGGCTTTCTTGGACGGTTCCAGCAGCTGCGAGCGATACTTGGCCAACTTGGCCTTGAGCAAACCCAGATGGTACTCGGTCGCTGCGAACGATCAAGGCCATTAAATTTTCATTCTCTCGTAAATCCTTTTAAATTTTGATAGTAAACATAACCTTTAACGCAAGGCCGTGTACCAACCTTTGTTCTTCTGCGTGCGTGCGATTTCTCGCTCGATTTCCGCGATCTTCTCCAAGATTCCCATTTTTTGTTTTGTTTATTATTTTCTTTCTTCAAAGGACAATCTTCTTATATCACTGACATTTGTCAAATGCGAACCACCAGTGGAGTACCTACTACGTACGATCGCGTTACATTCACGTGGGTCACGTCAAAACCAGAACAGCAACACCGGCGGAGATCGATCTACTCGTATAACTCGACGCAAGTCAAGTCGGCAAGTGCGGCATACGCGACGGTGGCAGCACACGGCAGCACAACAATATTTTTTTCGGAGTCATAATACTAGAGATCTCTTGCTTAGCAGCCGACGCGAAACTCGAACGAGGCGTGCTTGCGGGGCGGTTTTCCTTTTTTTTCGAATTTCTTATTTCAAGTTAAGGAAATAATCGGTTAGTCCTTCAAATAAATCATATTTTTGATGAATTAATATTAAAAAGTAAATATAATAATTTATTCGATTGTATTGGCACAATGACAGAATCGTAAAATTCGAACGGAAAAATTCAAACGAAACAATCGAACGTCCATATCATTCTCCCTTCCATTCGAACAATAGAAATCTACTCAGCGATACGATTAACCGCTCGTTAAAATGCACTTCGCAAGTTATCAAAGTGCCGTACACATTTTCGCATTCTCGCGCCACGCAACGCAACGAAGAGAGAGGGGAAAGAACAGAAAATACAACACACAACGAGTGCACGCACAGTCGGGAAAAGGGATTATTCGCACTGTATAGGTGCGGCCCGGTGCTGCTGCTGCTGCTGCTGCTGCCGCTGCTGCCGGCGGTACGCCTGAGTGGGTTGCTGCTCTGAGCGCACTGCAGAACCGAGGGCGCGGGTGCGGATGGTATATTATATATATAGAAGAATAATATCGTGCACACGCGCGGAACAGTAGGGTGAAAAGGATAGGGAGGGAGGGAGGGAGCGAGGAGAGGAGAAGGCAAAAAGCCACTGCACCGTATAGTGGCATAGGCTCTCGCGGAACGTACACATTATACCTCGCTGCTTATGTGTATACCTATATCTACGTTTATCGACTCTCCTCTAGCCGTTTCTCCGCTGCATATATAGGTATGTAACTAACGCGCGCTACTACGAGGCTATATCTGCAAAAAACGGCAGCGGCGGCGGCGACGGTGGTGGTGGTGGTGGTGGCGGCGTCGGCGGCAGCCGAGTCGGATAGTCGGCGCATCGTCATCGTCGTCCAACTCCAACTTCTCCAGTGTGTGCGCGGCGATCTTTTCGAGCGCATATATAATCCTGCATATCCCGCACCTATATGCAACGCGCGGCGACTGCATAATACATAAACTCTCGGCAACACTCCCTGCGTGCGCGCGGCTTATCGTCGTCGTCGTCGTTTTTTGGCTTTTCGCGTTTTACCCACGCGTGTTGTTACACACACACACACGTACAGATCGGTGAGTGCATTTATACGTACACACATACACGAGCATATTTGCTGTTTTGCGGCCGCGAAACGATACACATTACACGCACTATGCAGAGAGCCGCAACGACGTGACAATGTGTAAACAAAACAAAGTTCGAAGCAAGTAGCCAAGAGAGATAGAGAGAGCTGTGTGTCTCTGTGTGTTAAATGCACAAAAAGTCATCGGGGATTGATCATCCGCAGCAGTGTTGTGTTGTTACTCTGCTCTGCCTCGCGGCGTACATACATACACACATGTAGCGATATAGTCTCCGCACGATAACGGGATAAAGTGTGTGCAGTGTGCGCTGCGCTGCTAAAAAGTTTCTCTCTCCGAGAGCTCTGCGCTCTGTGTGTGTGTGTGTGTATCCGTGTGCGTCGGTGTGCGTGTACATGTCAGTGCAGCAGCAGCAGCGGTAGGCGGCCGCCAGTATAATATATAAGTGCAGCAGCACAGCCTCTCCTGCGATTCGTCGTCGTGTGTGTACCAAGTGTGTGTGTGTGTGTGTGTGTGTGTCAGTGTCAGAGTAGTGTTTTTGTGTGTGTGTGTGCCGTGTTATCGTGTGTACGTATGCGTACGCGCATTGCCACATACCACCGCATCTCGGCAAAATTAATAATAGTTAATTGTCATCGGCGGCAACGCAACGACAACGTGTGTGTTGGTGGTGGTAGTTAGTAGCAGTACATAACGACGAAAAGAAAAGAGAGCAAAAAAATAAAAAGAGTCGGAAAGTATACAATACGATCGGTCGCATCATCGATCATGAGCAGCGACGTTTTATTATTAGCTCGTGCAACGTCCTCGAGGATGAAACGAGGGTGAAAAGAACTGCTGCTGATGATCGTCGTCTCTCTCGCTGGACACGCTGTGTATACGGATGAAGTAATGAGCATACAGCCGGCGATGCGCTAGCGTTGGTACAGTTTTAATCCAGAAAACGTAAAAAAAGAAGAAAAAGAAATCGTCGTGCAGGGAGACACCCTTGATCGATGATAGATCACACTGTAATCGAGAGTTATTCTTCGTTGTTGTTGTCATCGCTGTTGTTGTTATTATGTTGAAATTCGGCAGCAAGAACGACGTCACGGTGGTTTACCGGGCCACCATCAGATTGCTCGACGACGCCGAGATCATACACTGCGACTTTCAGGTGGGTGGTTCGTTGTTCATTTTTATCATTCGCATTCTTTTTATTTTCACCTTATTCGTCTCTCAAAGGCCGACGACTCCCTGTCTCTCTCTCTCTCTCTCTTTTATCTTTTTCCACCCGAGAGAGACAATCGTCTTTTTTATTTTTCGTGCGGCACACACGGCTGCTTTTTTTTCCCTCCCGTTGTATACGTTCGTACACGCGCGTTATTGTTTTTTTGCCTTTTTTCTGTTTCAACAAATACACTAAGCCCCCAGTGTGCGCATTCGTCGCGCGATTATTACGTGCGAGCTTTCTTTTTCGTCCATATACATACCGTTCTTGGGTACCTTTCTCCCTCTCTCTCTCTCTGCAGCGCGAGCGAGCGAGCGAGCGAGCTTTTGTAAGGTTTCGTCGCCTCCGCACGCTTAGTAGACGACGACGACTACCTACCTATACGTGTTCTTTTTTGCTCTCACCTTCTGTATATATATACGATATAATACACACACGCATATAGAATGTAAAATTTACACACATACACTCGCGTGTCCGCGCTTAGTGACGTTTCTTTAGTCGCCGCCGCCTACCGCATGCGATAGCGGCCGCCCGCACAAAAACACACACACATGCGCGTGCTTTGTTTCGGGCATCGTACATACATTATTTCTAATCATAAACTCGTGTGCAAGCTCGGTGCCTTATCTTTCGCAGGACCGCGCGACAAAATATGCACGATATAAGCTGCATCGAGGCAGAGAGTGAGAGTTAGTTAGTTAGTTATGCAGTCACAACGGTAGTAATCACGATAATAATAATGATACGAGCGGCGGATTAAATTTCTCTCCTTGTCGAATAAGCCCTATAATATATCCCCCCTTCCAGTAATCGGCTACTCATGCGGATGGACCGACTACGACTACGACTACGAGCTATTATGTATACGTGCGCTTGCCTATCCGCTAATCCTTATCGCTTATTAATTATAATATATTCCTCGTCAGCTCCGATAACAAAAAAGCTCGCGCACAAGCACACACACATGTACGAGTCGCTGCATATAATCGCGAAGGCCGGTGTGCTCGACCGTAGTTTTTTTTTCTCTGTTCAGCAAACGCGAACGTTTAAAAATTCCGAGAGGTATAATTGGGAAGAGGAAAAAAAAAGCTCTCTCTCGCGAGTGCGCGATTTGTTTACGAGCGAGCGAGGACGCGTGCGTGCATATACATGTATATTCGAACGTATGTAGCGCGTGTATGAAAATTATGCACGCGCGCGAGTGTGTGTGTACGAGCTAGCTCTGCAGTATATGAAAAAGCTTAGAGCTTCGGTGGCAGGCAGCACAGGCAGCAAGGGCTTAAGTCTTTTATAACGAGCTATAAGCTCGTATATACTTCGGACATGTATACACGCGAATACACACACACACACACAGACGGACGCGCGCGAGGGGTAAAGGGAGTATATGTACGAGGTATATAATGTACACATACGACTGTCGTGTATCGCCTTTTTCAATAAATGTACGTGTGTGTCAGTGTTAGTGTGTGTGTCTGCCTATGGATAGCACATATACTATCGTACAGCGGCTGCTCGTGCCACTTCTGCTCTGTATATGTGCTGTGCTGTGCTGTGCTGTGCTGTGCTACGCTACGCGACTCTGCTCGACTCGTCGTCCGTGTATCATTGGCGCGCGCCAAAAAATCGATCAAGACGATGTACGTATATAAAAGCTCACGTGTGCCGTATATATATATATATGCGCGGGGGGCTACTAGTAGGCGCGCGCGCGAGAATCATAATACAGCGTTACACCCGTAACGGAGCGAAGCATACGCGTAGAAAGAAGAAAAAAAAACCTTATGCCTCTCGAAGCGCACGAATACTTCACCGGAGTAACGTTGTTTTATCCGTCGTATATAATATTTAGGCAATGTTCTTCGCGTATTGCGTGAGTGCCTGAGCGTATATATATACAGAATCGAAACGGTCTCTCGTCGAGCGCGTATATAATCGCCCTTAGTACCTCCGTATACATACGAGCGATCGAGCGCCCACGATTTCTACTTCTTCGTCGCTGTTGTTTTTTTTGCCTTCGACTTCTTCTTCGTCTTCTTCTTTATTTGTCAATATTTGCCCGTTGAAGTATTTTTTTTTACAAGCGTAGGGTGGCATGGATATATAAGCGTGTGTGTACGTACATGTATAGAGCGTAAGAGAGACAGGCAGTTTTGTTGGAGGGACAGAGAGAGAGAGAGAGAAAGCATCATCGCAAGCGGCGGTGGCGGCATCGATTTTCTGGCGCGCACGCCGGGCGCTTTTCTTCCTTTATAACATAGCAGCAGCAGCAGCAGCAGCAGCAGCAGCAGCAGCCCCGTGTGCTTTTGCCAACGCTGCGCTCTACTGCTGCTGCTGCTGCTGTCGCGAGGAAAAGCTCGAGTCGAGACGAAATAAGCGAGCGAAGCCAGAGCCGTAGCGTAGTCGTGTATAATCCATTGGACCCTTTAACATTTATTAAGTTTACGGCCGCATGGCAAAAGACAGAGAGAAAAAATCGAGCTTTTTTTTTTAGTAGCTTCTAAAATCTCGTTTCTCTTTGATGAACTTGGATTGCGAGTGCTATACGTACGTATACATGTAACGCGCCTCCCCGATGAATCTAACGAACTGTGCGCGCAGCAAGCGCAAACAACGCGCAACGAGTTGGGATAAGGTATGACGTAACGAGACGGATCCGTTGCCCGAAAGCACAGTCTACAGAACTGCCCCTGGGCAGCAGCTGCTGCTGCAAGCTCGTTGACTGTACATAACGCATACGTACATTACATGTAACAGCCTCAATTCGAACGGTACAGTACTTCGCTGCGCGAAAGTTTAAATCATCATCGCCGAGCGTACATCACCGCCGGGATATACGTTATACACGTCGTGCGTGTATGTGTGTGTGTGTATAAGCGCGAAGACTGCGCTGACTTGGATAATAAATCATTTTTAATGCGATCGTCGCCGGTCGACGCGAATTGGACATTCGACATCTCGTTATTCGACATTCGTAATGGTATTATTATTATTATTATGCGCGCAGAGTCAGCGCCACTGCTGCTGCTGCTTTTCATCTGGCTTGCTGGTTAGAGAGCTTTTCGACGATCGATCTATATGCAACGCCCTGTGTATATAGATATATATACGTAGCCGAGCCACGAGTGCCAGTGCACCAGCAGCATCATCCCCCGAATAACGTGTACACGCCCCGTTAACCTTATAATGCTAAAGCCGACGCGCATACTCACCCACACACACACACACACTCGCTCGCGCGACTTTGCCCGAAAGCTCGCCTACTCGCGCTTATACATACACACATACATACATACGTATAACATACAGCATGGATAATATATAAACCACGCGTATACTAACAGATGTCGTCTATTCATCATGGGCTATATAATACGCGAGTGGCATCATTTTCAAGGCAAAACCCAACTCGCGAAAGGCAATTCAATGTCAAAAGTAGTAGTAGTAGTAGTAGTTATATACACTGTAAAGTTAAAACTCGCAGCAGAAGCAGCAGCAGCTCCCTTGGCCTTCTCCGATGGCGCGCGTCGCGCGAATTATCGCTCCTACACACACACGCGCGAGAGAGAGAGCTGATAATTTTCCCGCCGAGGATATCGTTTGTGAGCATCGCTGCGCAGGATGTTTGCCGGTGCGTGTGTGTTTACGTATTGTACATATACTATGAAACACTCGACGCGCCATCGTGTTTGATATTTGTCCGGAACCGATAACGAGCTTGTGAGCAATTATACGTATAAATGTGTCCGCACTATAGTAGCAGAGAGCCCGAACGACTATCTATTTTTTCTTTTTTTTTTTCCTTTCATTTCACGCATCTGGCGCGTGGAAACGAACGCAGGCCGAAAAAAAAGCTCGCGTAGAAACACGTGTGTGCGCGCGACGTTCGGTACGGTACGGTACAGACACAGCAGACGCGAAAGAGAGAGAGAGAGAGAATTATTTCGCTGGAAAATAATTGAAACGTTTGCGCGTTGATTTTTCGGTACGCTATCTCGCGTCGCTCCAGATTCGCACGCGCGCACGCAAGCTCTACACACGACTCTCCGCCGATGTGTACGTTTATAAACACATCACCCAGACGCGTGAGCTTTTATACACACCGCCCGTAGTACCACGATCGTCGTCGTCACTTTTTTAGCTTTAGTGCGTGGCAGTTAATGCGGCGCACGAGAGCTTTACGCGTATAATATTAAATACGACGTCGTCTGTATATATCATATACGTGTATCATTATCGCTCGCTCGCTACTTGAGCATGCGTTAAAAGATCGTAAAAAGTCCATCGTCCTCAGCTGGTGCCCTTTTTACTTTCCTCGCAACGCAAACTTTTCATCCATCTCGGGGCTTGCACGGGAGAGAAAAAAAAGAAGAGGAAGAAAGAAAAATAAGAGCTTTTCATAGACTAATCTCTCTCTCACTCTCGCTCGGCCGAGTGTACGTATATATAAAAAAAAAAAAATCCTTCGAAAAATTCAATACATCTCCGGCTATCGCCCCGTTGTATACGTATAGGTACGTATCACAGACACGCGCCTCTAAAACTTTCTCGGAATTTTATATTTTTCATCCATGCGCGTCGTTTCTACTATAGCTTCCTCGGAGCTTTCCTATATAGAGTAGTGCGTGTGTGTGTGTGTGTGTGTGCTGCACAGTGTCCGTGTATATAATACATGTAGGATATAACGCACTTTACTTGCTGCATCAGCTTCTGCTCGGGCGAGGAAAAGTTTTTCCTTCGCGCGCGTATATATATAAGACGTACTCGCACACACACATACTCGCATATGCCGGCAGCGAATGTGCACCTAGTATATATCGAGTGAGCGAGCAAAAGCGAGTAGAGCTTCCAAAACGACGCCCGGGGCTTTAAGTATCACGTCTCGCGCGCGTATATGGCTTGTTTTGCTTCTGGTCGATGAGATTTAGCTTTATATTTTCGCG